TCTAAAAAAGTTCCCTGACTGATTTCACTGCACACTTGTTCACCAGGATGCCCTCTACCACTGTGTAAAATATCATTCACTTTTACTGTAGAAATCCAGAGAAAATGGGGGTCAAAGTGTGCCATTTTGGTCCCAAAAGCACTTTTTAAAATTCATTTTAAAAAAATCTAAAAAAGTTCCCTGACTGATTTCACTGCACACTTGTTCACTGGGATGCCCTCTACCACTGTGTAAAATATCATTCACTTTTACTGTAGAAATCCAGAGAAAATGGGGGTCAAAGTGTGCACAAGTGGTCCCAAAAGCACTTTTTAAAATTCATTTTAAAAAAATCTAAAAAAGTTCCCTGACTAATTTCACTGCACACTTGTTCAACAGGATGCCCTCTACCACTGTGTAAAATATCATTCACTTTTACTGTAGAAATCCAGAGAAAATGGGGGTCAAAGTGTGCACAAGTGGTCCCAAAAGCACTTTTTAAAATTCATTTTAAAAAAATCTAAAAAAGTTCCCAGACTACTTTCACTGCACACTTGTTCACCAGGATGCCCTCTACCACTGTGTAAAATATCATTCACTTTTACTGTAGAAATCCAGAGAAAATGGGGGTCAAAGTGTGCCATTTTGGTCCCAAAAGCACTTTTTAAAATTCATTTTAAAAAAAACTAAAAAAGTTCCCTCACTACTTTCACTGCACACTTGTTCACCAGGATGCCCTCTACCACTGTGTAAAATATCATTCACTTTTACTGTAGAAATCCAGAGAAAATGGGGGTCAAAGTGTGCCATTTTGGTCCCAAAAGCACTTTTTAAAATTCATTTTAAAAAAAACTAAAAAAGTTCCCTGACTACTTTCACTGCACACTTGTTCACTGGGATGCCCTCTACCACTGTGTAAAATATCATTCACTTTTACTGTAGAAATCCAGAGAAAATGGGGGTCAAAGTGTGCCATTTTGGTCCCAAAAGCACTTTTTAAAATTCATTTTAAAAAAAATCTAAAAAAGTTCCCTGACTACTTTCACTGCACACTTGTTCACTGGGATGCCCTTTACCACTGTGTAAAATATCATTCACTTTTACTGTAGAAATCCAGAGAAAATGGGGGTCAAAGTGTGCACAAGTGGTCCCAAAAGCACTTTTTAAAATTCATTTTAAAAAAATCTAAAAAAGTTCCCTGACTACTTTCACTGCACACTTGTTCAACAGGATGCCCTCTACCACTGTGTAAAATATCATTCACTTTTACTGTAGAAATCCAGAGAAAATGGGGGTCAAAGTGTGCACAAGTGGTCCCAAAAGCACTTTTTAAAAATCATTTTAAAAAAATCTAAAAAAGTTCCCTGACTACTTTCACTGCACACTTGTTCACTGGGATGCCCTTTACCACTGTGTAAAATATCATTCACTTTTACTGTAGAAATCCAGAGAAAATGGGGGTCAAAGTGTGCACAATTTGTCCCAAAAGCACTTTTTAAAATTCATTTTAAAAAAATCTAAAAAAGTTCCCTGACTACTTTCACTGCACACTTGTTCACTGGGATGCCCTCTACCACTGTGTAAAATATCATTCACTTTTACTGTAGAAATCCAGAGAAAATGGGGGTCAAAGTGTGCCATTTGGTCCCAAAAGCACTTTTTAAAATTCATTTTAAAAAAAACTAAAAAAGTTCCCTCACTACTTTCACTGCACACTTGTTCACTGGGATGCCCTCTACCACTGTGTAAAATATCATTCACTTTTACTGTAGAAATCCAGAGAAAATGGGGGTCAAAGTGTGCACAAGTGGTCCCAAAAGCACTTTTTAAAATTCATTTTAAAAAAATCTAAAAAAGTTCCCTGACTACTTTCACTGCACACTTGTTCACTGGGATGCCCTCTACCACTGTGTAAAATATCATTCACTTTTACTGTAGAAATCCAGAGAAAATGGGGGTCAAAGTGTGCCATTTTGGTCCCAAAAGCACTTTTTAAAATTCATTTTAAAAAAATCTAAAAAAGTTCCCTGACTACTTTCACTGCACACTTGTTCACTGGGATGCCCTTTACCACTGTGTAAAATATCATTCACTTTTACTGTAGAAATCCAGAGAAAATGGGGGTCAAAGTGTGCCAAGTGGTCCCAAAAGCACTTTTTAAAATTCATTTTAAAAAAATCTAAAAAAGTTCCCTCACTACTTTCACTGCACACTTGTTCACTGGGATGCCCTTACCACTGTGTAAAATATCATTCACTTTTACTGTAGAAATCCAGAGAAAATGGGGGTCAAAGTGTGCACAAGTGGTCCCAAAAGCACTTTTTAAAATTCATTTTAAAAAAATCTAAAAAAGTTCCCTGACTGACTTTCACTGCACACTTGTTCAACTGGGATGCCCTCTACCACTGTGTAAAATATCATTCACTTTTACTGTAGAAATCCAGAGAAAATGGGGGTCAAAGTGTGCACAAGTGGTCCCAAAAGCACTTTTTAAAAATCATTTTTTAAAAAAAACTAAAACGACCAAATGGTATATGTTCTGATTACAAGATTTTTAATTGTAATATTTTAACAATGTGTGTGAATTTCATATCGTGATGTATGGTCTTTTTTGTTGGAATCGAAGGACTGAAGTTGGACACGTGCTGTAGCTTGAATTTTCCGGGTTTATCTTGCTTTGTGTGTACTATATCCATTACAAATACACAAATAAAATAGTACATAAACTGAATCAACATCACTAATTAAAAAGTGTTTCAGTGTCTTTTATGGAGCTCCGTCTGAAAATGAAGTTCCTCATGGATAAATAAAGTGATTTGTGTTTGACCTCAATTTGAATGAGTAATTATCAATAGATGTTAGTGCTTTGAAAAGACGTTATGCTTAAAAGATTCTAACCTTGTTGTTGAGAGGATGAGAGTATTTTTGGATTAATCAAATTAAACAAGTAAAGCTGGGGTACTTAACTTTTTAAACCCCCCAAAAATAACTATAATCCATACAAACTAGTTCCTGGCTTTAAAACCGTTTGGATCCACCTCTAGTTTTCACTGGTTCTGACACAGCTTTAGATCAGCTTTTACAGACAGATAAGTGAAAAAAAGAGAGGACCGGGATCGGCTCGGAGCCCAAAGAGCCAAATAGTGACTCACAGGGTTCTTTAAAGGTGCAGTAAGCTATGTTGTTAGCTTAGCTGTAGCACCAACTGGAAACCACTCCCCCCTCCCCTCGCCTCTCCACCAAACCAAACATCCAGCATTTTCGTTTCTTTGTCGCAAAATTGAGAGTGGGCGGCAAACATGAAAATGGCCTTCTCTGTTCAGCCCTTTTAGGTTTTAGAAAATCCGATAACTCAGGTGCGCACACTCGCGAGGAACAGGAAGAGGGTGAAGGGGGTAAACACATCCCATTGGTTTATATTTATCGGTCTGCTCCAAAATATTTTGTATTAATTTTTGGAGACTATAGGCATCTGGTCAGTACCATTACAATTTGAAAACACATGATAACTTGTCTACTTTTAGGGTTTACGGACGCTTTATCACAATATTTAAAAAAATGCGTCTGGAAAAACAATCACTGACTGCATCTTTATGTAGTCCAGCTTTAAATTTCTGCTTCTGGTCATAAATCTCCAATCTTACAACATCTCAGTAAAATCCCTCATTCAGCCTTAATAATGCCACAAAGCTTTAAAATGGAAAAACAGTTCAGATCAACTCTTGTCTGTTTAAAGCTTGAAAAACGCAATCCATTTCCTTCATAAATCTTTGTCGTTGAAGAATTGACATGTTTTTTTTCTGGTCACGAGCCTAACGAGATTGCGAGAAGAAAGCAGTGCACGTAATTAGATAGAGATGAAACAGAAATCTGGGAGAAATTCTGAGAAACGCCAACAATGTACGCGCCGCATCCTCAAAAACATGACTCTTCACAAATATAGACTTCAAGGCCAAGCACCATGTTTTTTTTTTATCTAGGGGAATATTACTCACACATTCCAAGGCTCCAGATTACTCACCGCAGAACAGTTTTGCGGAAGCGTCACTATTTGAGGGTTTGGGCTGATTGGCTGAGTGAGAGTGCTCCTCCCCTTTTTCACTTTTCTGTCTGGAAAAGGCCGATTAAAGCTAAAGACGTGACAGAGACTGAAATATACATGAACCTGGAGATGACTAGAGATGGAAAGAAAGTTTTGTGGTTTTGTGGAAATTTGTGGTGCTAATTAATTTCATTGTACATAATATATCTTGCGCAAAAAGACTTTTTTAACATGTTGCACACTTCTTGTCTTTTTGCACACCCTTTGCACACATTTTATCAATATCTGAACTATGAACAATTGTAGGGCACTTTGGATGACCTTGGTCTGTAAAAGGCGCTATACAAATAACCATTACTTTATCTATGTCAATGTGACGTGTACATTTCTCCATTGTGTTTGTGTTTATCTTATCTTGTCTTTCAAAGTAATGTTATTAATCAAGGTAATTAACTTTTTTGTTTAAGTTTGTATTTCTTCATTCTTATCAAGTGTCAAGCTGTCTGCCACAATTATGTTGGTCTTTCACAGGATTCTTTTTGCAAAAATCTTCCATTTTAATGTTGGCGATGAAACAGAAATGTGGAAAGGTTCAGGAGGTATGAATATATCTTTGAGGCGCTAGAAAGTCCCCTAATTCCTCGCATATTCCTAACCTATTGATTACTCACCGCAACAAGAGCACTTAAACAAAAAAAACCACAAAAAAGGTTGTTTTTGTGAGATTGTACAACGTTGCACCCAAATCAAGAGTAGTTTTAGCTTCTTCCATGCTAACAGAGTTGTGGAGTGGGCGGAGCTTAGGTTTCAGGAAATGCAATGCCCCATGTTTAAGTGAAGGTTGGTTATTTTTCTTATTGTGAAGAGAGAAAGCGCTTTTGAAGGCAAACACCGTCAGAACAAATGCCCATATAAGGACATTGGCTCCAGCTATCTTATTTTAAAATGGGCTTCTTCCACACACAGCAAACACTACGGTTTATGTGGAGAATGCAAACTGATCCATCTTTAGCCGGACAAGGAAAAATACATGTGAAAATTATTGAACGTATGAAGACTTTTGCACGGAGCCGGAGTTACCTGAATGTAGCGGAGGGCGCTGCGGAGGACGCTGAGGTTGGACGTCTTCTTTTCGTCCACGTTTGGGACATTTTTCTTTAGGGTTTCGAAACACTCCTTTAGATGCGCTCGTCTGAAAACAAAGACATACAGTTTGTAGAGAGAAATAAGACATCAGCAGTAGCAGCAGCAGAACACACACACTTTACTTTTTCAATTCAATTCAATTACATTTATTTTTGCAAAGCCCTAAATCACAACAGTAGTTAACTCAGAGGACTTTACAAAGCTGTCGATTCGCCAGCACAGATCTGAGAATCAAACAGTTCAGACACAGGGAGTGATGGATTTTTAAAATGCTATCCAAACAAAATAGTCAAGAACGGCCAGTTGTGTCCAAAGTGGCTGAAAAATGGGTAGCTAAGCTGCTCAACCAACATCTTAGCCATGGCCACTCCCCCTTGCACCCCATGCAGTTTGGCTTTCGCCAAAACCACTCCACAGAAACAGCAAATTGTGTCTTTTTAGAAACTGTCAAATCCATGCTTGACAAAAACACCTGTGTTGGTGCAGTATTTTTAGATTTGAAGAAGGCCTTTGATACAGTAGACCATCAAGCCCTTCTCTCTAAACTGACCCAATTTAACTTGGCCGAGGATGCTCTTGCTTGGTTCACATCCTACCTGTCTGATAGAAGACAGTGTGTAAATGTGGGTGGCACTGTGTCTTCATTTCTAGAATGCCCTGTAGGGGTCCCACAGGGTTCTGTATTGGGACCTATACTTTTTTCTGTGTACATCAATGACTTGCCAAATGTTTGTCAAAATGTCCATATTCAAATGTATGCAGATGATTGTGTAATTTTTACTCCTGCTAAAACAACTGCGGAGGCATCATCTACTCTCACAGCAGCCCTGGTAGACATACAGCAGTGGCTCACCAACTCATCTTTAATATTAAACAAAAAGAAAACCGTGTCAATGATGTTCACAAAAAATCTATTAAACTCGGTCGATCCAACGTGTTCCTTGGAGACACTGAGCTTGACCTTGTTGAGGAGTTCAAGTTTCTCAGGGTCACTCTGGATTCAACTCTCTCCTTCAAAAAACATATTAAACTCACAGCTAATATAATAAAGTATAATTTACATAACTTCAAACAAATCAGGCCTTTTATGACAATCAATTCAGCAAAAATGTTCCTACACGCAATGATTTTCTCACACATAGATTATTGTATCACAGCCTGGTCACTCACTGGACAAACCCATATCAAATCCAAAGAAACCCTCTTCAAAAAGTCCATTAAAATTCTGGATAAAAAGCCTTGGTCATATCATCACTGCAATATCCTGGAGAAACACAAAATGCTCAATTTTCAAAACTTTATACATTTTGTTGCCTTATTTACAAAGCACTTCATGGTCTTGCCCCGACCCCACTCTCAAACTACATTAAAGCTAAAGTAGTGACAGGTCTACTCTCCACACCCGAGCGTCCTCCAGAGGAGATGTGGAGATCCCACACAGAAAAACTATATTTGGACAAACTGTGCTGTCGGTCAGAGGAGGTCAGTCTTGGAACAACCTTCCTACAGACATAAGAGAATGCCCAACATTGGCTCTTTTAAAAATCAACTAAAACACCATTTTAAAGTAAATCAGTCCTGCACTCATTTTAACTAACTGTAATTTCTGTAATTGTATATTGTCCTTTTGTATTATTATTGTTGTGTGACCTGCCTCGGGACTATGGATGTAAATTAGCAGTTTTGCTACAATCTGGCACATTTACAATTTGTGTAAGACTTGTTAATGATTGTTCAATAATGTGTGTTGTCCCGATCAAATAAATAAATACATAAAAATAACACTATTCACTAGTGAGGACTGAGCCCGTTTATGTTGGTGGTTTTGAGGAACAATAAACTAATTGGGATGTACCTAAAACTATAAGTAACAAATTATTTACACACAATGGGGGCACCAAGAGTCTCCCACCACAGAACTAACCAGACCCTACCCTACTTAGCTTCATGTCTGACGGGATCTGGCTTTCATAGTCATTTTTTGCGATAGAGTGTAATTGAGAGATTATTTCTTTGTTTGGAAGGTACAATTTAAAACTCATTAAACTGCTCATGTTTTTCTACTAAAAAAATTGTCATCTCTCCTGTCCACAGATATGACACATAACTGGACCTAGTGAAGACACTGCAAAACAATTATGATATTTGAGGTAATAATTGCTTGAATCGAGCGGTTTTCCTCTTATTTTGAGTGTATTCTGTCTTAAAACAAGATTTGCCAAAAGGGACAGAGCCATTTTGTTCTATTTCAATTACTTTTCTTTTATCTTTTTAAAACAAGATTCTTTTGCTTGCCCCATTGACTTTTTTGATCACTTTTTGCCGTGTGGCTTGTCTCCAGTGCAGATAGATACCCACCAGTTCTGACATTTGATCATTTCAAAAAAGTACATTTAAAAACAAACCTATTCTTCTCCAGCTTGTTGTGCACCTCTCTCGTCCCCGCTCTGCAAAAAAACCAGAAACACATAAACACACTCCCGCCACCGCTGCTCAAGTCCCAGAGACAGGACGCAAGACTGACCCTCCTGGCCTCCTCGTCCATGGGACCAACCTCATATCCTCCATGACGGCGCCGTTTGCCCGCTGCTGTGCCAGGAGATGAGAGGCGGGCCCGTTCATGGAGGCCGCGTAGGGCACGTGGACCTGCTGGGGCAGCTGCGGCGGCGGTCCCGGCTTCCCGCAGGCGATGGGTGTGGGCTCCACCTTCACCTGAGTGGCGCAGAGCAGGTGGCGGTGGTTCTGCTGCGGCGGTGAGCAGGGTTTCTTGGCGTACGGGGAGGCAACGTTGAGCGGCGTGGTGGCCGACGCGATGGCCGTGGTCAGGGGCAGGGAGGGCGTCGCCGTGACCACCGGGACCATGGGGATGACGGCGATGGGAACTTGCGGGGGCGCCAGCGAGGGCGGCGAGGAGTGGTGGTGCTTGCATTTGGACTCGTCGCTCCAGGAGATGTGCGAGGAGTGCACCACGCCGATCCGGATCTCCTCCGACTCGTGCTTGATGCTGTCTTTGCAGTCGTCATCTATGAAAGAAAAGAGGAAATACAAAAGTAAGTAATTAAGTAAGTAAATAGTGTTTATTCATATAGTGCATTTTTACAGACCAAGGTCACCCAAAGCGCTTTACAATTGTTCAGAGTTCAGATATTGTTCCATTCTTTCCACACGGTGATGATGGAAGCGAGTCGCCGAACACACTGGTCCATCAAAGCCTCTGACCAAACACCATCCATTCACTCACTCACATCAGACCTATTGTACATGTGTTTAGTGGTAGGAAAAACCGGAGCACCCAGAGGAAACCTACGCAGACACGGTGAGAACATGCAAACTCCACTCAGGACCTTCTTGCTGAGAAGCAAGAGGATTGTCAAAAGTGCAGAAAATAATACATAGATACTTTCTTGATTGGACTAATTCAGGTGTCCAGTAGCAGCAAAAACACATCTATCCACTCAAACAAAACAAATAAATTGATCATTCTAAAAAGCTAACAATTTATTGATACTACAGTTAGTATTTAAACTAGATATACATTTGAGAAAGTGTTAGTGCGTTGGACCCGTTTCTGAATGTCAATTTCTCTACTTGTTATCCTACACTATGTAAGGGATAATGTATAGTACGCAGATCATCATCGGAAAATCACCTGAAGGTACTTATTTTCCGATAATGACCTGCGTACTATACATTATCCCGCTTATTTTACCGCTTTGTACCAACAGAACACACAAAATAAACTTCCACTTTTATGAATGCCTAAAGGTTTATTCAATGACTGCAAATGAAATAGTTCCCATAGGTTTTCCCACGGCAGGCGAGTAACTGAACATCAGCGGTGAGTGACCCATATATAAACTCAACCTAAATTCATAATTTGATCCTCTGCAAATGTGTCTTAAAATGTATTTTCATGTTAATGGTTACTTCCGAGTTTACCCCTAGCTTTTTGTCACATCCAAACAGTATTTTTGTCATGAAAACGTTAACAGATACTTCTGAAAACCTCTGTGCATGTGTGTAAAGAATGTATACAGTACAGACCAAAAGTTTGGACACACCTTCTCATTCAAAGAGTTTTTATGAAAATTGTAGATTCACACTGAAGGCATCAAAACTATGAAATCACTCATGTGGAATTATGTACATACTAAAAAAAAGTATGAAACTGAAAATATGTCTTATATTCTAGGTTCTTCAAAGTAGCACCTTTTGCTTGGCCTTCTCTTGATGAGCTTCAAAAAGGACCTGAAATGGTCCCACAGATACTTATCACTTGTTGGCCCTTTCGTCTTCACTCTGAGGTCCAGCCCCAAAACCATCTGGATTGGGTTCAGGTCCAAAACCATCTGGATTGGGTTCAGGTCCAGTGACTGTGGAGGCCAGGTCATCAGGCCCAGCACCCACCACTCTCCTTGTTGGACAAATAGCCCTTACACAGCCTGGTGTGGATCTACAGTCAATAGTCATGAAAAGAAAGGAACCTCATTGAATGAGAACGTGTGTCCAAACTTTTGGTCTGAACTGTATATATAATGTATTCTCCGATTAACATTTAAATGTGTGATTTATTGTTATACGTGTCTATTGAGCGTGGCTAGCTCCAATAGCAACGAAGTGACCGGAACTACTTGCGGAGTAATCTACACATCTGAATTACAAGCAGGGAGTGCGTTGCCAAAGGGTAGAACGTTTTTGAAATTACAATCAAATCACTGGAGCGTTCTACTGCTGCTGTGAGGAGCCGTGTAATACATGTACATAACTTTGCACGCTATATGTCGTCTCTATCTATCTATCTATATATATATATATATATCGATATGTTGATATGGAGGAATTTACAGCTAGCTAAGAAACAGCAGCTACTCATATTGTATATTTTGTGTGCTCCCTGTGTGCTCTTGCATGTGCGCTGCAGTATTGAAATTTCCCCACTGTGGAATGAATAAAGGATCTCTTATCTTATCTGGGTCGAACTAAAAAAGGACAGTGGTGATGATCCAGGATTCTTTTTTTTTGGATCATTGCATTCCTTGTGTTTGAACTGTTTGATTCTCTGATCTGTGTTGGCGAATTGGACGGTTTTGTAAAGTCAGCTGAGAAGTACTGTTGTGATTTAGAACTATACAAGAATAAATTGAATTTGAATCAAGTTAGTGTTTGAAAGGCCTCTTCCCACGTGGACCTTAATGAATCCAGAGACTTCAAGGCACTACTGCACATTCCTTACTTTCATGCAGATCTGTGTAGCACTGTATACCACAGAAAACTTCCCTTGGAGTTGGAGACAATAAAGTTTATCTTATCTCAGTATTTTCTGGGGTTTGGGCCCTATGTGAGCGCATATGGTCTCCCCCTGGGCCCAGACTGGTCGGCTGCACCCAGTTGTTTGATTATTATTTTGATCTCAGAACTGGTAAAAAAACACTGCGGTACAGTAAACAGCACTATAATGTTATATTGTTATTTGACGTGTAGAAATGGGTGGAGTCTGGTGTGGTCCTGCTTGGTTGAAATGAAAACGTGCAGCCACACTGGCCCTTTGAAGACCAGTTGGACATTTGACCGAGTGGGGGATTCTGGCCTAACACTTGCAGCATTACTGAGTCTATAAACACATAAAAGTCGATCAAAATTTAACGCAGAAATCCAGTTTTCCAGCCGAACACCAAAAGTCTTGTGACCACATACACAGACTAATGCCCAAAATCAAATTCAACCTGATCCAATACAAATATCAGGAGCGGAAAAAAAATAAAAGTGAAACTGCCAGTAGTCGGGCAGAAAACCGGAGTTGATATAAAATTCTAATGATTAACTCTGACAAGAAAAGGAGGGGGGCGAGATTTATTAATGCAAGTAATTAGTGCTCGTTATGTAGCACCCACAGAGATTCGATCACGGTCACAGTATAGCTCTGATAAAACATTAACCACGTTCTCTCCGGGTTCGAGCCCTCGCAGCCAGGGCTTGGAGCGGTTGTAATATTGTTGAAATGTTGCCGTTTTTTTCCTCACAAATGTACACCTTTTACACAATAACAAATGTGGGTCAAGTTGTTGGTTGTTGTGTTATCAACAGTGTAGCTGCAGCGGCAACTCATTTATTTAGGTTCACGTTTGCACTAATCACAAACAGTTTTTAATCATACATTATATAGAAATTTAAAGGTTTTTTTTTTTTTTTTTTTTACACATTTTGCTCATTTGGACACTAGGAACCTTTTGTTTGTGGAACTGTGTTTGGGGAATAGTTATCTAGACACACCCCTTTGTTTTGTTTGTTTCATTGCCTCATGAAATACAAGGCGCTTTGCTTTGGCTCACAAGACAGATACGCATGGGACGTTTCATTAAGTCGGGTTCTTCGAAAAGCAATCAGGAGATTCTTGGTTTTATTCCCTGTTTGAGTAAAAGCGGCCACTGAGGTACGTCTCGGTTATTTTGGGTTTTTCTTTGCAGTGTAATGAGAGAATGGAAGTGGAACGAGTGGCTGCAGATGAGGCATAAGCTAATTAAGTATTTATGAATGTTCTAATAGCAATATGTGTTTTCTATGTTCTACTTACTTCTTTCAGAGAGTTAATATATGTTTTTTAATGCTACTTTCAGGTCTGGCGGAGTGTTTGTCAATGTTGGCATTTCTCCTCTGGACAAATAAATATCTGTTTGGTCACACTTTAGTTTAGTCCTCACTAACGAACAGCTAATGAAGTGCTAATATGTGTATAATGTATAGTTAATTGGCTCTCAATGGGTACTAAGCACTTGTTAGTCCTTATTCTACATGTATGGCCTTATTCAGCATTTAGGGCCAAGGTTTAGGGTTAGGTCTAGGCCTAGGGCTAAGGTTATGTTTAGGGCTAGGTCTAGGGTTAGGGTTAAGGTTATGTTTAGGGTTAGGGTAAGGGCTAAGGTTAGGGTTAAGGCTAAGGGATGTTTAGGGAGTCAGGGCTAGGACTAAGGTTAGGGTTAAGGCTAAGGGATGTTTAGGGAGTCAGGGCTAGGACTAAGGTTAGGGTTAGGGCAAGGGCTAAGGTTATGTTTAGGGCTAGGGCTAAGGTTAGGATTAGGGGGTTAGGGTACACTGATTTGCACTTAGTGGGGGCTAATCTAAAGTGTTAGAGTCTTTTAAACCAAAGAACTCAGAGGGAGCAACCAACAGATACACATATTTGAACGGTTTAAAGGGCTTGAACGTCACTGAATATCTATAATTCCACAGATTTCATGTATTTAAATGTGGTTTATAAGGTTGTGTCATGCTGCACTGTCGATGCCAAGTCACTGAAGGCCACTGTGTCCAGTTCTTGTGTCCTTTCGGTTTCCCCGTTCACAGTCCTGGTTTGAGTCCAGTCCTGTGCAGGGTTAGATCCGGGTTTAAGTCTCGTTTCGAAAACAGCGGGAATGTGCAGGTGTGAACGGACCCTCGGCTGCAGTCTGACAAAGTGGGGAAAGTACAGCGCGTACTTTTGGCAGGAGACAGAAAGTAATAAAAGCGTTGAATGTAAACCAGAGCGGGAGCTTTTATACTGCAGCCTGAGAAACGTGATCTTTGTGGTTGCAGTCATTTGGTCACAATCACATTTTACTCTAACATTTAACAAGAAAAAATAAATATACTTCCGTTGTGTCATACTATCATCATTGACATGGTATTAATAAACCATGTCTACCAACTTCTTACATTACATTACAATTCTTACATTACTCCTCAACAATCGCTCCCTGATAATTACTTTGTGGCCTTAATTCTCGTTTGTTTGGGCAATTACTTTTGGTATGTGTATCTTTTGTAGGAGTGTGACAATATATCAATATGGCGGCGTATCGTGATACTTTCTCACGCAATCGATTATTGATATGCTTTTGCTAAGTATCAATTTTTATTTTTTTTATTTTTTTAAGCTTTACTTGAAACGAAAAGTATTGATACTTAATATATGGCAGCATTGCGGATTTTACAATTTCTGTAGAATGCTCATATTGATTTTATTGGATGTGAGACAGATTAAGATTTT